CAGGCCGGATGGCCACAGGACAGCCTTGCAACCGCTGCACACCATGACAATCCAGTGTGCGCCATCGGTGCCTGCTCTATCACTGACCGTGCCACGGAGGCCGTGGGAGGAAGGGAGAGAGAGACATAGATAACTAGAGAAAGAGAGAGAGAGAGAACAAAGAAAAAGAACGAGGGAGAGAACGAGGAAGAGAAAGAGAGAAAGTTGGACGCCGGCCTCGCGCATTGTGGATCCAGTTTTGTTGGCAAAAGCGATAGTGGTGGGTGCTCCGAAATGGGGCGAGTCACCACGTGGACGCAGCCAGTGTGGCCTTCGGCGGAGTTCCCTGTGGGGCCGCGAAGGTGAAGGTTGCGCCGACATGGGGCGAGCCACCATGCGGACTCAGCAAGCGGGGCTTTCGGACAAGCTCCTTATGAGGCCACGAAGCGTGTGAGGGGTACTCCGAAAGCTTGGTGGCGATGATGCTGGTGATGATGGTGATGATGACTTTGGTGGCGAAGATGATGACTATACTGACGATGCTGAGGACGATGATTATGTTTCTGTTGACAATGCGAATGCTGCTGATGATGTTGATTATGGTGGTGATGATCATGATCATGATGCTGGTGTTGATTATGACGATGTTGATGATGACGACGACGATGCTGATGCTGTTGCTGATGATGATGATTTTGCTGGTGATGGTGATGGTGATGGTGATGGTGATGATTGTGATGACGACGATGTCGATGACGATGGTGATGTTAGTGGTTCGCAATCCGAGACGACAATGGTGATGATGATGATGATGATGATGATGATGATGATGATGATGATGATGATGATGATGATGATGATGATGATGATGGTGGTGGTGGTGGTGGTGGTGGCGATCATGATTATGATGACGACGGCGATGATTATGATGATGATGCTGATGATGCTGATGATGATGACGATGATGTTGCTGATGCTGATGCTGCTGATGATGATGCTGATGATGATAACGCTGATGCTGCTGATGATGATGATGATGATGATGTTGAGGACGATGATTATGATGATGGTGTTGGTTCTGATGATGATGGTGAGAGTTATGATGATGTTGGTGATGTGGATGCTGTCAGACATTAACAAGAAAACGAAACAAGGAAGGAAGGGTATGAGAAGATGCGGGGAGTGAGATGTGGGGCGCTGCGAATTCAAAACGAGGACCCAACACGTAGGAGGGTTGGGAAACGTTGTAAGAGCGAAAGAGACGGAAATAGAAAGAGAGAGAGAGAGAGAGAGAGACATAGAAAGAGAAAGAGAGCGAGAGAGAGAACAAAAGACGAATGGATCTGGGAGGAATGGCAGACGATGAGGGAGTCAGGAAGCATGTGTGAGGAGGGGGAGGAGGAGGAGGGGGAGGAGGAGGAGGAGGAGGAGGAGGAGGAGGAGGTGGAGGAGGCTCGCTCGCGAGAATGCTCAGGTGAGGGAGGGGGGGGTATGGGCGGAGGTGGAGACGGAGGCGGAGGATGAGAATTTTGGGCGGCGTCGGGAGGATGTGCGGCTTGGGCCGTGGGACCTCGTGGCTTCCACAAGCACGGGGCGGCTCGCTGGCTGCGGGCCAGCGGGTGTGGCAGGCGTACGACGTGGACCACAACAACGAGGCGCGCCCCTCGCCCGCCCCTTCCGTCACCCCCTCTGTTATCTAGGGCGCTCGGGAGAGGGCACCATTTCGCAGGAATGCAGAAGCGGACGGCTCGCGTACCTCCGAAGAGAGGTCCACGCGGGCGTGCCCAGGGTTGCTGGAGGCCGCCGTCCCTCCTCCAGGCCCCTCCGCGCCCTCTCTTCCCTGCCCCTCCCACCTCTCCTCCTCCTCCTCCTCCTCCTCCTCCTCCTCCTCCTCCTCCTCTTTCTCTTCCCCCTCCTCCTCCTCCTCCTCCTCCTCCTCCTCCTCCTCTTTCTCTTCCTCTTCCTCCTCGTCCTCCTGCTCCTCCTCCTCCTCCTCTTCCTCCTCGTCTCCCCCGCAGTCTCACCGCTGCCCCCCGTCGCCCTCGACATCGCCTCCACCCTTCGCAAAACGGAGCGCGCCTGTGGATACTCTTCAGCGCCAAAGGGTACCTGCCGGTGCTAGCACGCTGCTGGTCGAGCTCGCCGCCGCACTGAGCTCGACGGCTTGAGACTACGATCTGCCTCTAAACACACACGTGCCCCCTAAACCATCCGTCGAGCAAGGGCTCCCCCTGCATTCCTGGGATGCAGTCCTCAACTGGGGAGCGCCTGGTGGTGCTTGGGGAGCTCCAGGGAGCGCTGGGGAACGCCCGAGAGTGATAGAGGACGCTGGGGGGCGCCCAGAAGCGCCGGAGAGCGTGCTTGGGAGCGCCAGGACCTCTACGGGAGCGCGGGGTCGCTTGGGGGCGCTGTTGGGCGTACTCCGGGATCTTCGGAGCGCCAGGGCGCGCGAGCTCCTGGGAGCACGCTGGGGCCCTTGTGTTCGGGCGAAGAGAACTATACACATGCACCGATCCTGGCAAGGCCCGTCCTTGACCCAGGATCGGTGCATATACCTTCCTGGCCAAGGTAGCGGGCGTATGCACCGATCCTGGGCTCAGGATGGGCCTGGCCAGAATCGGTGTATGTGCATAGTTCTCTTTCCTCTATGTGTGCACGCTGGACGCGCTGCGTGGCGTGGGAACCCAGTTGGCAGCTTCGCGATGTGTCAAGTTCGAAGCCTGCCGCCCTGGCCCAGCGTGACACGCGATCCATCATTGTGCTTCAGAGGTTGCACCGCCAAGAGACAGGCACTATCAGAACCGACTGTTTCGGTAATGCGTTCAATATCGAACCAAGCCCCGACCATGCAACTCTATTTCTGAGCACGGTACGCCACGAGTGAGCCAAGAATGGGGGAGAAACGCGATTTGGGTTACACTAGAACCACAGTGTGATGCTGACGATTGCCCTTGACATCCTGCTCATTGCGCAACCCACCAGCGCCATTAATCGCCGACCTGCATCAACATTGCAGCGGCGGAAGCAGGGCTCCAACTCCACCCGGACAATGCGAATGCATTTTCACAACACAGACACAAGCCAAACCGCCAAACCGAGCTCGACAATCACAAACCAGTGTGTTTTCAATAACATGAATGTAGAATTGGTCTCCCGCCGCTGCGATGAACCAAGTATCATGGGCGCAAGCTCCAATTCAGACACATCTATAACGCTCAAGTATATTACATGAATGGCTTGGGCTGGGGGAAGCTTTACTTGCTCAGTGCGGGCCGCACGCAACACTACAAGGCGGCGAGCAGCCAGCAGCAAAGGGGCCGCGATAATTCTTCCGCCGCCATCGTGCAGGCGCTCCAACACCGCGCCAACCAGCTTGCGCTCTTCTTCCGCTAACTATCCGAACAATCAGCCACGCTGATCGACAGGCTCCGCCGAGCGCAAGAGACCTGGAGCGGCCTGCAACAGGCCTTCCGGCCCGCTGCCGCTACGGGGGCGTCCTTCTCTGGCAACCTCCAAGCCTTCTTTGACGCTAAACATGCGGCGCGCCAGTGCTGGCCCCACCTCCTCTCCCACGGGCCGCGAGCACAGTTGGCGCCTGCACCGTCGTCCGCTCGTCTCGGGCCGCCGCGGGGGCCGCCCCAGAGTGGTGCCTTTCACCGTCCTCAGCGTTGCGTCGCGCACGCCAGAACGCGTGTAGAGGCAGCGCTTCTACCGCGGGGACCCAGACGGTCCCCATAGCGGCCTCTTCACCACCGCCCGCCTTTCTTCCAGACGGGCGCCCGCCCTTTTTCCAGACGGGGCCCCTTGGACCGGGCCAGGAAGGAGGTAAACCCACCACCCCTGTTGCGTACAGTGGAGATCCATGCCAAGAAACGCTCTGCTTGTCCCCCCAGGGTGCCTTGTTTTTTGAGGGGTTCGATGTCCACGGAAAGCGTGACGCTCCCACGCTAGAAATCAACGGACGTTCTGGAGTCTCAGGGTTACAGTCAACCCGCATAGTAATGATGGGCAACCTTCCCAAGGGTACCCTTGCATCCTTGCCTCCTCGGTCCATCCTTCGCCGCTTCCGCTGGCCGCGCCCAGCTCGAAAAGCTTCGAAATGGGCGTCCAAGACCCTTGCATCCTTATCGCGCATCCTTACTAGACTGGTTGACTGTGGCTTTCTTGTGGTCTTGTAGACTGGCCTCCGCTGCATGCGGCGCTTCCCGCTCGTGCGAGGACGGCTTTCCTGGGCGCTCCCAGCCCGGGGGGGCCAGGGCTGACACGCGGCCCAACGTGTTGCGACCTCTCCCTGTCGCCTCGTGCCCCTCATTCCCTGTACCCTTGGCTCCATCTTTCTCTCTCTCTCTCTCTCTGTCTCAATCTTTTTTTTTTGTTGTTCTCTCTCTCTCTCTCTCTTCCTCTCGTTTTTTCATTCTTTTTTGTTTTCTCTCTCTCTCTCTCTCCTTTTGCCTGTCCGTCCGCCTGGCTGTCCAGACGTCCGTGAATATGTGTGTGCCTGTGTGTCTGTCTTTCCGTCTGGCTGTCAGTTTGGCTGTCTGTTTGGCTGCCCGGTGTCTGTCTGCCTGTCTGCCTGCTTGCCTGCCTGCTTGCTTGCCTGCCTGCCTGCATGTCTGTCTGTCTGTTTGTCTGTCTGTCTGTTGTATGGTTTAGACTCCGCGCGGCGTTCTGTGCCATGGCCTTGTTCCCCAGGCACGGCTGGGCCGCGCCCGTGAGGCGTGGCCAGTCGGCGAACATCGCGGGACCCAGAGAGCTTGTCAGCCTGTCCGTTTGCCTGTCTGCTTGTTTGTCTGTCTCTCTTTCTCCTCCCCCCTCCTTTCCACCCCGCCTCTCCCCTCCTTTTTCCCTCCCCCTTGCCCCCTTCCCTCATTCAATTCCTGCTCCCGCGTTCGCCCTTTCCCCATCCCTCCTTCCGCTTTCCTGGGCGTGGGCTGGGAGTCGGAGCTGGGCCGTCGTCTGGGAGCATGATGCCGTGATGCCTCGAGGCAACGGCATCGCTATTTGACTGGGAATCGGTTTTTCATTCCTTGTTTTGCCGATCGGCGCGGGCCCTCGGGCCCCCCCCCCTCTCCCCATGGAGTAGGTCTTGGCTGTTTTTGGCGCCTGTTTCGAGCAGTTGGAGTCCCTCCCCCAAAGGAAACACTGTTGCAAGCAGTCGCAATAAGCCGAGGTCCAGAGCCAGACCCCCCTCCCCCCCCTTCCGCCCAATGTCGAAACGCCGACTTGTTTTAACAAACAAGGAACACGCTCACCTGTGGATCCCCGCGTTCTTGCCGCGGCTCTCTTAGAGGCCGGGGGCCAGGGTCTGCCAGGGGGCGCGCGGCAAACGTGCATTACCAATCCCGCTGACGTCAGACAGTGAGACAAGTTCCCACGAACCTTGCGCAACACGCGCGGCTCACGGAACGGCGGACCGCTCGCCCCTCATTCCGCCACGTGGGGCATGCGAAGACCTTGTGAGCGGAGCAGGGTGGGCACAGGGGCCAACAGACGGTTGTTCGCGCCCGAGTCGAGTTCTTCTTGGTAGCAGGGAGAAGCACATGCAGTCGCACCCAAATGAGGGACCATCGTCGGACCTCGCGTCGAAATGAATCAATACGGGACCTCGTGGACTCCGTTGATGTGCTTACTCCATATATTCGCGGCGTGCTCTTTCCTTCCTACTCCCCTCGCTCCTCCCTCCTCCCTCCTCCCTCCTCCTCACCACTCTTACTCTTACCCCCTCCCCCTTGCCCCTTTGATCCTTTCCCACGTGATGGGCCAGAGATGTCCGGCAGGGCGAGGAGGATGTCGAAGAGAAGGGGGACGACGGCAAAGAAGAGGAACGGCACAAGGGGGGATGGTTGATATGAGGAGCATGTGGAAGGAGGCTGGAGGAAGGAGGAGCGGAGCTTGAGGGCGGAGTCGAGGGGGAATGGGGATGGGAGGATGGGGGCAGGGAGATTGGAGGAGCAGGATGAGGGAATTGTGGGGGGCGATGCACGGAGGGAGGAGCGAAGAGGTGAGATGGGGGTTTGTAAGAGGGGGAGAGAGGAGGGAGGGAGGAATGAGGAGGGCGGAGAAAGACGCGGGGGAGGGAGGAAGCGAGGGAGGAAAGTGAGGAGAGATACGTGACAGTGCTCGCGAGGGAGGAGGGTGGCGGGGGCGGCGCCAAGAGATCGTGACGAGAGAGATGGTACCAAGAAGGGGGAGGGGGAGAATGATCATGGCCAACGAGATCGTGGGAACGATGCTGAGAGGATGGGAGGGAATGAGGGTGGATGATCAGGGGAAGGGAAGTAGGGATCGGTACATATTACCCATCGGGCGTTGAAACTAGGTATAGTTGGATTCCCATATTCCAATCTGCTTGAGGCGCCTTCCTACAGCAATGATCGAGTGGCTTCACCATTTCCGCCCTCCTCAGCAAGCGGACGGAACCCGATCTGCTTTCGACGCCTTCCTACACTTCATGTCTCGACCTGCTCCTTCCGACCGATGGATCACGAGGAACGGTCACGCTGTGACGCCATCGCCTGCACCCGACCATGCTGGCACCCTCAGGCCCCGCGGCGGCACCCCTCACTCCGCCGCTCCGCGCCCCCCACTCCGCTCCGCCGCGGCGGCGGGGGCCTGGGACGCTCCCTTCCCCCCCGGGGGAGGCTCCGCGCCGCGGGCTCGCGGAGCGGCCTGCACACTCGCCGCGCAGGCCCGCCCGGCGGCGCCGGGCGTGCCCGGCGGCACCTCGGGCAGCAGCTGCCCGCGCGGCGCTCCGCCGGGGGCCCGCCTCGCCCCCATCGGCCGCCGCGAGAGCACGGCCCGCCTCGCGGCCACGGCCGCGGGAGGCGCGGGAGCTCAGCACGGGCGCGCCACGCGCGGCAGCGGGCAGTCCAGCGGCCACAGGTTCTTGGTGGTCTCCAAACCAGGTGGTGAGACACCCGGTGGTGACCCCGATTCCCCAAAGAAATAATTCTGGGTCACCACCGGGTTTGGGGACACGCGGTCGCCACGAGGTTTTGCGTTTCCTGGGCCAGCCAGCGCTCGAAAACCATTACCCAAATCGCCCAAAACTCACCACCGGGTGTTCTCACCACCACGTTTGGGGACCACCAAGGTGCGTCCTGCATCGCCTGCAGCGGCTCGCGGCGATGCCATCTCCCGCGCTGCCACCAGCCACCCGGACGGGGTTGGGCGTCGTGGGTCTGGGCCAGGCTGGGCACGAGCCGAATGGAAGGCCAGGCGCCCTGGCGTGACTTCGGCAGCTCCTGAACGCCAGACCACTGGGAATGGTCGTCCAAAACGCGTGTGGCGAGCTCCGCCTAGAGATTTAGCACGTAGTGAACCTTCTCCACTGCTGCGTTGCAGGCCTCGTCGAAGTATTGCAGCATGACGTTGGAGCTGCATGCGGATTCCTGACCAGTGCGCTCGTCCGCCGCCTTGTTGACCTTGGAGATGCGCCGCTGGTTGCTGTCTAGGGCCTCCATGGCAGCCGTGGAGCGATGGGCCTGCCCCTTGCAGCACTGCTGCACGTCTTCGGGGCCCAGGTTGATGTCCCGCAACCGCGCCCAGAACTTGCCACCACACGTCAGCATTCGGGCGACATGAGTCGGAACACCACCGCGCAGCGGCGGCCACGCCGTCAAGAACAGGCAGGCAGGACCAAAATGCGGAGGGGCAGGAGCGAGGGCGCTCGATGGCTGGCAGCTCGGCGCGGTCGATGTTCCGATGCACTGGCAGCCTTATCGGCAGCGGTCCCCACACTGCCACCTGAACGATGGCACAATCTGCATCCATTACCACCGCCGCCCAGCACCCTCGACCGAGCCACTTCCAGCGACCCGGGAGGGAAGGAGGGAGGGGAGGGGAGCGGAGGGGAGGAGAGGAGGGGGAGAGGAGGATGATGAGGAGGAGGATCATGAGGAGGAGGAGGAGGAGGAGGAGGAGGAGGAGGAGGACTTGGATGTGGAGGAGGTGGAGAAGGATACGCGGCCCATCAGCGAAGGTGCTGAGCGAGTCTCCCGTGCAATTCCAGATTGCCGAGCACTTCTTCTGTATCTACTTCAGCTTCGAATGGAGTGGGCGGGTAGGAGGACGTGAGGATGCTTGCGCACTAGCAGTGGGAGGAGGACGAGGAGGAGAAGCACCAAGATGATGATGATGATGATGATGTTGATGATGATGAGGTTGATGGTGATGATGATGCTGATGTTGATGATGCTGATGATGATGATGATGATGATGATGATGGTGGTGGTGGTGGTGGTGGTGATGATGATGATGATGATGGTGGTGGTGATGATGATGATGACGATGATGATGATGATGCTGATGCTGATGCTGATGCTGATGCTGATGCTGATGATGTTGATGTTGATGTTGATGATGATGATGGTGGTGGTGATGATGGTGGTGATGATGGTGGTGATGGTGGTGATGACGACGATGCCGATGATGATGGTGATGATGATGATGCTGATGCTGATGCTGATGCTGATGATGCTGATGATGCTGATGCTGATGCTGATGCTGATGCTGATGATGATGATGATGATGATGATGATGATGATGATGATGATGATGATGATGATGATGATGCTGATGATGCTGATGATGAGGAGGACGACGAGGAGCAGGACGGGGAGGAGGAGGTGGAGGAGGGGGAGGAGGAGGAGGAGGAGGAGGAGGAGGAGGAGCGACGAGGATGACGTGGATGCTGAGGCGGCCGATAATGAGGAGGATGACGATGATATCAATAAGAGCTATGACAACGATGAGATCGAGGAGGAGGATACGGAGGTGAGAACTGACGATGTGAAGGAAACAGAGGAAACGAGGAAGTGGTTTGAGAAGTAGGATACTGTGGACGTGGAGAAAGAGTAACGAGCTCATGGGAAGTCGCGCCACGTTTGGTTTACAGCAAGAGTGGTTCGACAGGCTATATTATTTATAGTTCCCCTTCGTCAGCATTCCTCCCATCTTTCCTTCCTCCCCCGCCTCCTGTTCCTCCTCTTCCTCTTCCTCCTCATCTCAAAGGCGGCCGCCTCGGCTCGAGCTTGGGAGCTCGCGCCAGGCCGCCCCCAGCCGCCAGCGGCCCGCGCGCACGGCGGGCGCTGGTGCATCGCTGGTCAGCACCACGAGCACGCGCGCCCGTCCACCGCCTGGCGCATGCGAGAGCGGAGGGCGCGCTCACGGGCCAGGAGCCTCCTCCGCCCAGCCGCGGCGAGGAGGACGCTGGCTGAGCACCGCGGCGAGGCTGGCGAGCTCGTCGGCAGGGGCGGAGGCGGCACTGGCGAACCGCCTCCCCCGGCTCCGTGGCAGGAGGGCTCCTGAACATGCGCGGCCACGCATGCTTGCGGCTTCGCGTCCAACTTCACCAGCAGGCAGACATGCTGGGCGTGCGGGCGCGACCGCCAGGCAGACCCACGGGCAGCAAGGGAGCCCGCGGCAGCCGCCCAAGGTCCAGTGGCGCGCGCCCCAGCTCCCGCCCTCGTGTTGATGCTGGTGAGGAGCTTGGAGCCGCGGCCGACGGCATGGACCTCGGCAGGTCAGCGACGTGGCCAGATGCAGGACAACGCTCTCAGGACTACGCCGCATATATGAGGAGCAGCACACCATCGTGGCCATGACGCGCGAAGAGCTGCTGGCCAAGGCCGAGCAACAGGAGCGAGCACAGATGGCCCCAGAGGGCGTTCTCCGATCCGCACTTGCACGCCAGAACAACTGCAAGCGGGAGGTTGAGCGCGGGGAGCCCATCGCTAGGGACTTTAAGTCGGAGCTTGACGACATGAGCATCAAGCTGGCCGCGGCGAGCCAGCAGCTCGTGGCCGTCAATGCGGAGGTCGCCCAGGCCAGACTCGCACTGGAGCCCGCAACGTCCTCAGGCTTGGTGGAGGCCGCCAACGAGATCGCCTCCCTGCAGCAGATCCTCCAGGGCGCCAGGGGCTCCACCAGTGCGGGCCACGACCACAACATGGTGGGAGGGACCATCCTGGACACCTTGGCGGACCACATCAACAGGCTGGGCGCTGCAGTTCCCCCGTAAGGAGCCGCTTTTCGCGCCGCAGGCGGGCGGCCTGTTGGCGCCAGCGCCTCGCACGCAGCAGCGGCTGCAACAGCGCCCGCGCACACCGCCCCAGCCTCAGCAGCCGCAGCGGTCGGAGCAGCCGCAGCAGGAGCCAGCTTCCCAGATGTGCCCGCCGGCTCGAACGCAGCAGCAGGGGAGATCACCTAGGCACAGAGGACCACGCGGAGCACGGCGCTCGGCAACGGGAGTGAACACCTTCAACGGGTCGTGCTGGACGACATGCCAACACTTTTTGCTTGAAGGTGCAGGGGGTGTTCTCGTGGTCCCTTGCCAGGAACCTAATTTAGATAATGAAAGGTTGGGTCGTGCTCGCACGTGTGCGTTGCGACACGGGTGGCAGCCATCCATCAGCCAATGTCGACGCCTTGCGTCCAAGCTACCGAGTGCAGGAGTCGGGATCTCCGTCAGGAAGCATGTCGGAACGATTTTACTCAGTCCCGCGGGGGGGGCATCACTGACGGTTTTGAGATCCTGCGCTTTTGGGCGGCTGCAGTACACGTACATGTCGGGCCACCTGGGGGCAGCATCTTGGGCTCAGCCTGCATGGAGTCCGCCGGTGGCCACAACTCCTTCTGCACGAACTATCAGAAGCTGATGCGCACCGCGGGGGTGTTCTAGGCCTGCGTCACGGAGCTCGGGCCCTCCTGAGCGTTCTGGGAACGTCTGGGGTGGGTCCCCGTCTTCCTCCTCGTGGCCCCTGGGTTTTTTTGCCTCCTCTTCGGTCGGGGACCACCAGGACACCCAGCTTTGTTGGTTTCGGTTTGTAGATTGTGATTTTCCGCGAGAGCTGCTGTCGTCGCGTGTCACCCTCTCAATTGGGGTGACTCAATGTCCGCGTGCCGAAGCCTGCTACGAGTAGTGCAGGGTCGATGTGGTTAGGAAGGATGAGGACTCTCCCCTGGTTACGCTCCGCCTCGTCTCCCTTCCCTTTTTCCCTCTTCCCCTTCCATCCCCGCTTGTCTCATTTACCTCTTAGTGCTCCTGCTTCTCCAATATACACTTGTTCAAGAACTCCGCATTCGTAATGCTACTTTCCTCTCCCCTGACCCTGCGAGGAAGATGGTCGGCCCTCTCTGCGTATTTGTTTTGCGCACCAGAGTTCAAACGGTGATGCTTCTGGTGATGCTTAACAATTCGACGGTTTTCGGTGCTTCAAAGTGGTGCTCCCGTGTCAGCGTGGGCCTCATTTTTGATTCTGCGTTTGTTTGTTTCTGGTCGTTCTCGGCGATGCGCGTGCCGCTTTTCTGGATCCGAGTCCTCATCGTTGGCGCCGCCCCTCGTTTCCACTCCTCCTCCTTCCCTGGTCGTCTTGCGCCTCTCCCTCGTTCCACTCCAGGTCCTGCTGCTGCTATCTGTCCTCGTCCCCCATCCCGATTACGTACAACATGATCGGACATTTTTCGAGTTACAGCGCAGATCCGCTATGACATGCGTCCGCGGATATAAGTATAACACAATGCAATGGGAAAAGGCTGGGTGAGAGGGGTTGGATGTCAGATCTGGCGCGAGTGCGCCTAGCGTGATTTGGACACTACTCCCCTCTCTTCCTTGACCCTGTCTGGAAAATGTTGCGCCCTCCCCGCGAACGTTATTCTTTATTGGGTTGGACAAGCTGTGTTGTTTCCTTTTATGGTTATGTTGATCGTTCGATTGGTTTCGGTGGGTCATGATGGTGTTCCCACTGCAGCGTGAGCCTCATTATTGTTTCTGCGCTTTGCTCCGGTCGTTCAGAATGGCGTCCTCGCCGAAACGCGGGCCACTGTTGTGGATCCGAGTCCTCATCGTTGTCGGTCCCCTCATTTCCCCTCCGCCTTCCCCTGGTCTTCCTGCCCCTCCTGCGCCTTCCACTCCAGTTCCTGTTGCTGCTGTTTGTCCTCGCCCTCCCTTTCCCTGACATTCCTCGTTTTCCTCCTGCTCATCCTCCTGCTCACCCGCCGCCTCCGCCTGCTGTGTCTTCTGTGCGCAGCTTCCCTCTTCCGACTGCGCACAACGCGATCGGGTCTTGTCTGGAGTGCCAGGTCGGCTACAGTCGGCCCGGATTAGTAGGTCGACCCTGCCAGCTCAAGGGTACCCTTGTGCCCTGTGCCTCGCGACACGTGCCTTCTTACACTCCTATGGCGATGTGGCCCTCGGAAGGGTCTTGTGTCCTCTCGCGTGTCCTGCCCAATCAAGGCCGACTGTATGACGTGCGTCGGCGCTTGGAGCCACACTCAGCGCAGTGGGAAGGGATGGGAGGGATGGCATCGGATGCCAGACAGGGCGCGAGCGCACCCAGCTTGCCCCCCCCCCCGCCCCTCTCCCCCCCCCCTTCGGCGCGCGCGCCCACCCCCCTTCCCTCTCTTCCTCCTCCCACGCCCCCGCTCCTTCCCTCCTCTTCCCTCCCTCCTTCCTCCTCCCTTCCCTCTCTTCCCCCTCTTCCTCCTCCCTTCTCTTCCTCCCTCCCTCTCCCTCTCTTCCCTCTCTTCCTCTCCTCCCTCTCTTCCCTCTCTTCCCTCTCTTCCATCTCTTCCCTCCCTTCCTCTCCTCCCTCTCTTCCATCTCTTCCTCTCCCTCCCCCGCTCCCTTCCCTCTCTTCCCTCCCTACCCGCAACCCTCCCCCCGCTCCTCTCCACCTTGCCTGTCGGACCGCGCGGAGGCGGGGAGGGGTAGCGACAGGGGGGACTCACTGCACGCTAAGATGTAATCAGCTGTTCCCAAATCAGTGCTTGCACTGAAGGGGTCCTAGCGGATATTCCCCAATCAGTGCTTGCACTGAAGGGGTCCTAGCAGAAGTTGAAAGATTTGGCGAAAGTTTCCCGCCGATTTTGGTATTCGGCTGGGTTCCCGGGTTCTTAGTTTCGGGTTCCCGTGTTTTTTTGGGCCGATTTCGGTGGGTTCCAGGTTTTTAGGTTCCCGGTCGATTTCCTTATCGATCTCTTTATCGATCTTTTTTCAAACCATCCACTGATTGGGGTTTTTCTCTGGTGTAATGCACCCCTCGCCCCAGCACGAACACTAACCCGAGCCGCGCACTCGGCAGCGAAACGGTTGGCCTGGAAACCCGCGGTTCCCGTTTTCTGGGTCGTGGCCCTTCTCAAGTGTCACGTGTTGGGTTCAAGGATTTGTGCGTGCCCTCGGAGCACTCGCGATGGCTCTGGCCGTCCTGAGCTATATCAGGAGCCAAAAATTATCCCAGTGCGACCCTACCTAGGAGTTGGAGCCTCTAGGAAAGCAACATTAGTAGGAGCGGTAAACGCCGTCCTCCTCCTTCTCCTCATCGTCGTAGTTGTAGCAGTAGCGGTAGTAGTAGTAGTAGTAGTAGTAGTAGTAGTAGTAGTAGTAGTTGTTGTTGTTGTGTTGTTGTTGTTGTTGCTGTTGTTGTTGTTGTTGTTGTTGAACATTATTTTTTCTTAAGAATAATTATTGTTGGGACCCCTGGTGCGCGACCCCCCGCCGCGCCTAGGCCGCAGCCTCATTTTCATCATTTTCGTGAGGAAGTCTCAGGCAAAACGGGTTGGTCCGGATCCGGTTGTGTTGTTACGATCGGTTTTCCCTTGCAAAAAATAAGCTAAAGTGGACATTTCTTGTTCTAACATAACCAAACTTCAAGAATCCCTTGCAAAAAATAAGGTAAAGTGGACATTCGCGCGCGCAAGACGAAATCCTTCCAAAACCTTAGTTTTCGTAGCGATTTTAACATAAAAACATCAAAAAACCAATGGTTTTTCAAAAAAAAATGTCAAAATTTCATCCCGCGCGCTCTTGCGGATTCGTAGGAAACCCAACACTTTTTAATCATTTCTGTCAAACGGGCTTTTGCGAGCAACTTTTTCGAACTTCTGCAACAACGGTTGCGCACCTGCCAGGGCCATCATCCCTGTCAAATAATACCATGCGGGACACATTCGTTTTTTCTTCGCGCGCGCACGCCGTCGTCGTCGGCCGCGGGGCCCTGAATAGTAGCCACGGTCGTCCGCATGCCACGAAGTGAAGTGTCCGAACGTCATAGGGCGGGAAGCTGGGTGTGGGTGGTGGCGAAGAGTCGTTTGGAAATTTGGTAGAGCTTGAACCGGCCCCCCCACAAAGTGGGGGTATTGCCCGCCTCCTATGAAAACCCTGGCACTGGTGAGAACGGAGTGTCCCCACGTGCTAGTAATTGTTGTTGTTGTTGTTTGTTGTTGTTGTTGTTGTTGTAGTGGTTAGTGGTAGTGGTAGTGGTAGTGGTAGTGTAGTGTAGTGGTAGTGGTAGTGTAGTAGTAGTAGTAGTAGTAGTAGTAGTAGTAGTGTTGTGTTGTTGAACATTATTAATTCTAAAGAATAATTATTGTTGGGCCCCCTGGTGCACGCCCCCCTGCGCCGCCTAGGCCGCAGCTACATTTTCATCATTTTCGTGAGGAAGCCTCAGGTAAAACGATGTGATCCAGATCCGGTTGTTTTGTTGTACTCCGTTTTCCCTTGCAAAAAACACTATAAAATGACATTTCTTGTTCTAATATAATCAAATTTCAAGAATCCCTTGCAAAAAATAAGGTAAAGTGGACATTCGCGCGCGCAAGACGAAATCCTTCCAAAAGCTTAGTGTTCGGAGCGATTTTAACATAAAAACATCAAAAAACCAATGGTTTTTCAACAAAAAAATGTCAAAATCTCATCCCGCGCGCTCTTGCGGATTCGTAGGAAACCCAACACTTTTTAAACATTTCTGTCAAACGGGCTTTTGCGAGCAACTTTTTCGAACTTCTGCGACAACGGTTGCGCACCTGCCAGGGCCATCATCCCTGTCAAATAATACCATGCGGGACACATTCGTTTTTTCTTCGCGCGCGCACGCCGAAATCTCCAAAAACCATTGGGTTCTTAAGAATTTTAGCACCGCGCATCATAAAATCACACGAATCGCACCGTAGGTCCTCGAAAAACACCTGCACGACTTTTCAAAATTTCCACCCGCGCGCGCTGTCCGAATCCTAAAAAAACCA